TATATATATATATATATATATATATATATATATATGCACACACATACACACACACACACACACACACACAGATGCTCCTCAACTTACAATAGGGTTATGTTCCAATGAACCATTGTTAATTTTGTTGACGAAAAATTTTCGCCATAGTTATCGCCAACGACCTTTATTTTCAGACTAAAACGAGACGATAACTAAATAAAAATGATTTTGCAATGTCCAAGACTATGACGATGTGTATTGACAATTTCGTAAACGAATAAAAACGAGGTGAAAATGTTTGCTAGAGACGAGATACAATCAGAACTAATGTAATTCGCGTATGGCAGGGATCAGTTAGAGAAAATTTCTTGAAGCAAAGGTTCGGAAGATCATAATGTCTAACTATTTAGTAGTGTTGTAGTCAAGACCACCTAAACCGAGACCAAGACATTGCCTAGACCAGAGGATATCAAGACCAAGACACTGCCGAGACTTGAGGGTACCAAGACCAAGACCAAGACACACTAAGGCAAGACCAAGACCAAGACCGTAAACAGACTACGGCTAAAATCGACATCACATTACTCAGATCAACTGCAGAGAAAAAAGGCATTGCTGTAAAGTGTCATTACTCGTTAAATCAAATTCATGTTATCTTTTCAATTATATTGTCCATTTGTCCATATGTCTCTCATGTAAAATCTCCCAGGCCTGATGGAAAATAATATTCTCAGCAATCCTCTCCTATAACCATTTTATCAGACCTTGTCAAGGGAAAGAGATGGGATGTACCAGAAAGATGTTCATATTAAGTACCAGGGAGAGAGGCCTCGGGTAAGCTATGAATACGGCTATGTAATGATCCTCTGCTTTGAATTGAAGAGAATGAGTCTCCAGATTGACTTGCACCTCCAAGACCGTGCTTTCTAATCAATGTAAAATAGCTAATTTATTTGAATTATAACTATGCTATTAGTGCTGGGCGATAAAACGATCTTGATTTTTTATTGATAAAAGATAAGGACGATCACGATGATACACACAGACTATAAAACTTGATCAACCAAATTTGCTCCGTATTAGAGAATGCACTGAGACAGACAACTCCATGGCCTATCGAGCAGAGGTTTACTGAACGCCAGCACAACAGCCAATCACTGACAACGTTGTAATTTTGCCCATCCTCCCTTAAAGAAGCAATGGGTGCGTTCGACTTGGGCTTAGGTCTGTCTGCAGCTGACGCAGTTGCAGGGGTGGGGTATAAACTTTTTAAAAAAAAATTTTTATTAATGTGTACAGTTTACAATTCAAATACAAATTTTAGCGGCACAGTTCAATGACTAAACACATATAGTTAGTGTTGATACAGCAAATGGAAAAAAAAGAAAAACAAAAAGAACAAAGAAGTACAATGTAGCAGGAGAACTAAACAAAACAAATAGGAAGAAGGGTAGGGTCTTATTCTAACAACAAAAAAGAGTTCAAATTATCTAAGAGTTTCTGGGTGTTTTTGTCCATCATGTAATCAAGAGATTTCACAATTATCTTCAGGTCATTCTTCCATCCGCTGAAGTGGGGTTTAACCTTTAAATACTTACATCGATGAATAAAGTGTTTGCACAAAATAATTAGGTTGTTTATTAGAAAGTCTAGGTTCTTATCCTTCACCAATACTCCAACTTTAATTGAGACCATCGTCAAAAGGTATATTGGTATATGTTTGGAATGAAGCCAGTTTTGAAATTCAAGCCAGAAATGATGCACAAGTTCACATTGGAAAAACAAATGTTATACCATTTCAATGTCTTTCTCACAAAACCCACATGAATTGTTCTCCCAATTAAATCTTTCATGCAAAAAGTTATTACAAGGATAAATGTCATTTAGAATTTTAAATGTCACTTCTTTGGCCTTAGGTAGAATCTGGTATACTAAATACCTCTTCCTTATTTTTTTTGCCTCTTCTTCTGAAGTATAAACTGACTGCAGCCAAGTCGGACAACATCTACTCCTCGTAGTCTGTGAGACCTGACTGCAATGGCAGCACTGCCAGAAGGGTGTAGATAAATCTATACAAATATCACCTGCATTATTTTTGCACTAATAGCACTACTGATTTTACAGATTGGACGATTAAACAAATAAAGCAGCGCAACATTACAGTAACTAACAATAAATAAACCACTAACTTACGTGTACTGTTAGAGCATTTATGTAATTTATTTAAACTTTATTTTACCAGGTAAATGAATTGAAACCAGTTTTCACTGCTTTACGTGCTTTTCGGGAGAAATAGCAGATAACGCATTGGAACTTCCTGGTATACAAACGTCGTGCGTGTAACTAAAATCTTCAGGCAATAAGGGCAAAGTTGTGTCGTCACGGAGACGGTTCCAGTTTCTGCAGCACGATCTGTCTCAAGTCGTCTTGCTCTCGTGAGGATTTTGTACCATGTGACATGGTGAAGCGTGGTGACGTTTTCCAGCTCCAGACCAAAAAAATCTAACCATGATTTGGCATTTTTTTGAATAACTGTTTTTTGTTTGGTTTAGATACTTTTCTACCTCAGAATTTTAAAAAGTTTTAAGAGACCAAGAATAGAGGAAGATACTTGTTGCAGTCAGTTCTGTCCTACTTTATTTTATGTTTGCCCTTTAACATATTTGCAATATTATACAGTTTTGCACATTGTTACATTATTATATGGTTTTGTTCTTTTCATCTATGTTTCTTTGAATACTTGAAAATCAATAACCTTTTATAATTTTAAGGGAATTTTGTATGTAAACAGTAAAATTTGTAGGAAAATAAGTATTTCTTTACTAATATTGTTTATTTCAATGTATTCATTCTATTTGTCAGAATAAGGTTATTTTTGTTATTTTGATTATTACATTATTACATGGAACAGCATTGTGAAACTAAAATATTGATAATTATCGATATCGGTCAATTCAGGAAAAAATATCGTGATAATTTTATTTGCCATATCGCCCAGCTCTATATGCTGTAGACTTCGCGGACATTTTCGAACATTTCTTTGCCGACTTCGCTATTATGCGATGTGTATGATGTGTGTGGACTGTGAAGCACTGGCAGTGTCCGTTGAGAAAATGTATACAATGTAACGTTTTTAAAATAGATTCATCTGACTGGTTGCATTTGAATTGAGGCGCGTAATAAATAATGATACTGTTCTGTGAGGATGTGCTGTTTTCTCTTTTTTTCCCCCATCCCATCGAGACCGCTATGTCCGAGACCAAGACAAGACCGAGACCAAATAGAGTTGAGACCAAGACAAGACCGGTCTCGAGAACTACAGCACTACTATTTAGTGTGATATACATTTAAGTAGCCTATTAGTTATATCAGCATCTACTAAAAGGTAGGGCTGCATTTCAAAACAAGAGAAAATAAATAAAATGTGAAAATTGCACATGTTTAAATAAACATGTTTAAATAAAGCTGTAGAACACTAATATAGTCGTGTCTATGTCATATACCTTCGTACATGTTAATGGATTTAAGTATTGGTTTTCTATAATAAAATTAATAAAATTAAAATCTTGTTTTAATATAAATACATACGAATTTATCACTTTAATCGCTGTTAGTGTAGGATATGGACAGTATTATTTTGAAAACATATAAAACGTGACGCGTTTTTATCATATTTGTTTTATATTTGTCGGAGTAACGCAAATGGAATGACAAACTGTTTCAGGCGAAAATACCGCATTTTACATTTTATTTCAAATAAAACGTGGGGTTGCCAACTTCGGCCAGCTGGCTGGAGTGAGATTTTCAATTCGAGTTGTCAGCACACATGTATCAGTTCTTACCTTGTAAATAGTCTGCTTCTGTATTTAACCGTAAATGCACTTTGGACTTAGCTAATTTTACGTTTATAATGGTATAGATTTTCCGTAAGATTTCCAGCGTGAGTCTGAAAGCGTGAGTTTCATGCCAGATTCTTGAAATTTGGCAGCCATGGAAACGTACATTTCCTCTGAGTTGATTTATATAACAAATAACATTACTTTATACAGTTGTTAAAAAGCGAAAACTTCAACAAACATGAAATCACCAATAAACTACATCTACAAATATTTATTTTAATATTTCTATTTTAATATTCAGAGAGAGCAGGCCTGGTGGCATTATAGCCTATGCACTTTGAAGTGATTTTATTTTTGCACTAATAGCACTACTGATTTTACAGTACCCCAGTAAATAATCATAAGTTTGTGTTTCAAATAAGAGTGAAATCTGTGTCTTTGTGTACTGCACAGTCAGACCTTAACACCATCCCTTAACATTGGCTTCATTTCATCTTGGTGGACATAATGACTTTCTGGCATCAAAGGGAAACTTTGAACATTACACTTTTAATTTTAGTCAACTAAATCAACTGTAGTTTTAGTCAATTGTAATTTTATGATATTTAGTCAACTAAAACTAAAATAATTTAGATGACTAAATTATGACTGAAACTAAATTACATTTTAGTCAAAAGACTATGACTAAAACTAAATAAAAATTTGCTGTCAAAATTAACACTGCAATGAACCCATCGTAGGTTGAAAATGTCAAAATCTGAATATGAATGTGATATGATAAACAAGTAAGTGAACATACGATACGTTATCAAACCCAGTATGAGATGTATGTATGTACGTATGCTCACATACGTGGCATATGAGAGGGCTGGATGGAGGGACGTGACACACACACACACACACACAGATGCTCCACAACTTACGATGGGGTTAAGTTCCTATGAACCCATCGTAAGTTGAAAATATCGTAAACCGATTATATGAATGTGATATGATAAATAAGTAAGTGAACATATGATACTGTCACGCCTACACCAGCAGCCACATAGGCGCGGCACACCAGCTGGAAGTATTGCGAAGTATTGTTGCTATCCTGGAATGAGCCTTACCGAGCGTTTAACCTCTGTCTATTGTTTCTTTTCCCTGCTCCTGCCCCCCCTGCCTGCTGCCCTGACCCATGTCATCCTCCTGTGTCCCCCGCTTCCCTGTGTGGCGTGTTGGTGTAGGACTGACTCCCTCGGCTATCGACTCCTCCGCTCCGTCCCTGACTACGCTTCTGCCTCATCCTTTGGATTCTGTACTCTTGTGTCAAATAAACCAGGTCTCCTGCAATCTGAGTCCAGTGTTCTGTCCCATCCCCAATCCTGACAGATACGTTATTAAACACAGTATCAGATGTATGTATGTACGCTCGCAATGGTTACAGAGACTAGAAGCATGGCTGCATAGAAGTGACCATTGCCCAGCATGAGAAGAAAGTATTGTACAGCATATCGCTAACATGGGAAAAGATCAAAACTCAGTGTATGTATATATAGTGTGCCAAACAATCTTTGATATATATGAATGAATACCCATACATGTAGAATGACAGATGATATGCATGAAATGAAACCTGATGTGTAAACAATGACAGCAGTGGGCAATGTGAATACTGTACGTTGTGAGTGTGAGAGGCAGGCGGCAATAAAACGTCTTCTTGTGTTTAACTGTCAATATTACCTGCATTATTATTGGTGATACACTATATCGGGCATCTGCACTGCAATATATCAGCATTCACTGTGTGCAAATATATACATATATGTGCATGTGAATACACACACACACACAGTACACACACACACACACACACACATATGCCAGATTTTATTTTAAATATATTCGCTGCCATTGTATAGGGCCTCTACTCTTCCTATTCATATCTGAAAGTTGTCTCCATCATAAAATGTTTACAGACAGTGGCGGTTTTTGATATGGGTGACATGAGCCGTTGCCCAGGACGGCATCGTGGTGGGGGCGACATCATGAGCATGGACAAATTTTTTTTTTACATCATTATTATTTGATTTTTTTTGCGCGCGCCCATGCTGCCCCGACATCATGCCAGCGCATTTTTTGGCCATTTTCTATTGCCCATTTGCGGGAAGGGCGCCCTCCATTTTGCTTGCCGCACAGGGAGGAGAGGGGCGGGGCGGCGGGGGATTCTCTGGCTGGCTGGAGCGGCATCTAATAACCAGCTCACAAAACAAAACAAAACAAAAACAAACAAACAAACACAAAAGCACCAGACATTATGATATAGACTTATAATTTGCACCGATGTGGTTTCTGAATTCTATCACACCCATATATGTGGGAAGTGAGCGCGAGGGCCCTCGGTGCAACTGCGTGCTGCTGCTGTGCTGAAGTCTCACACACAACCTGCCGAAAGGGGAGGGGGGCGAGGTGCTTCCAAATAAAGCACATTTCATTCATAATATTGTCAATCCGAGCCCATTATGTCATAATTAATTTTTCCTGGGTTATGCGAAATTGCAGAAAAAACCCCATTACAAACCGTATCTGTGCACTAAGGTGTACGTCTATTAGTTTACGTTGTGGTGATTCTCGGGTTGGGGGATGGGTGTTGATACTGGAGTGCAAAATTCACACCGATGGAAGATGGACAAGAAAAGGTCAAAGCCATCAGGTGCTCAGTTTAGGAAAAAGAGAAAAGGAGAGGAGGAGAAACGAGCAAAAGATAAAGGTAAGCAGATGTGTCATTGGATAATGGCAGGTATTATGCATGACATGTATCCTGAAACAATGTAACATTAGGGAAAACTTCTGTTTACGTTTGTTAGCCACTTAGCTATGATAGTAAACAGTAGACAAACAGTAGACACTGATGTGACTCATTGAATCTGTTGGACCGTGTTCAGCATAATATTAATTAGCCATTAATTGGAAGAGGTGTATTGCTGATTTGTCTCCTATTCTCAATGTATGACGAATTATAATGGCTGTTTGTTAACCTTTTGCATACTATGTAACGCTAAAACCGGAAGATAGTATTCTGTTGTAGTCTAGCTGACTTAGCAAAAAAAAAACCCTTACACTATTAGGCTACATTATTTAAGAAAGTTACCTTACTGTAATTACAGAGTAATGCCTTACTTCTGTACACTGATGTTGTGATAGCCTATTCAATAAAATGCTTGTTATACATATAATTCTGAATATTTGATAAATTGGGCAAAATTATATGTTTGTTATGAAATTGATGCATGCATGTATCAGAGTTTTATATTGGGTTTCTATTCAGGGGCACCTCTGCCACTGCCACTGCCCAAGATGAGGAGCCGGTCACCTCCTCAGCCATGTACAGTATGTGTCTCCACAAATGTCTGATCCTGAGGATGAAGACCCAATTGCGGCCAGGTGTGATTGTGTGTAGCCTGAGTGTGTGTGTGTTGCATAATATTTGTGTATTCCAAATAACTTCTGTATACTAATGCAAATGTTTGCACAAAGAAATGCCTGGAACTGAACCATCTGACGATGAGGTGGCACCAGAAAGGCACCAAACAGGCTCTGCCTGTTTACAGAATTCATTTGTAGGCTTCTTCTACAAAAACTGTTAACTGTGAAATAAGCATTACAACATGAAATTAACAAAAAAAAAAAAAAAAAAAATATATGCACACACACACACACAAACACAGATGTTCCTCAACTTACAATAGGGTTATGTTCCAATGAACCTATCGTAGGTTGAAAATGTCAAAAGCTGAATATGAATGTGATATGATAAACAAGTAAGTGAACATACGATACGTTATTAAACCCAGTATGAGATGTATGTATGTACGCTCACAATGGTTACAAAGACTGGAAGTGTGGCTGCATAGAAGTTGCCATCGCCCAGCATGAGCAGCAAGTATTGTACGGCATGTACATACATCTGTGTGTGTGTGCCAAACAGAAAATACTTCATCATCATCATACGTTGTGAGTGTGAGAGGCAGGCGGCAATAAAACGTCTTCTTGTGTTTAACTGTCAATATTACCTGCATTATTATTGGTGATACACTATTTCAGGCATCTGCACCACAATATATTAGCATTAACTGTGTGCAAATATATACATATGTATGTGTGTATACCTGTATACACACACACACATACACACACACACATATGCCAGGTTTTATTTGAAATATATCCGCTGTCATTGTATAGGGCCTCTACACTTCCTATTCATTTCTGAAAGTTGCATCCATCATAAAATGTTTACAGAATTCATTTTGCAGGCTTCTCCTACAAGAAAATTACCTATTTTCTATTTTTGTTCTTCAAATTTCTCATTTAAACCATTTATTTTGTGATGTGGCATAGCTTCAACGAAGAAATACATCTCTTTTATTCTTGTTCGAATAAGTTTGAATTTGTGTCTTGTTCTCTAATTTTGATTACCACTGTATATTTATATGTGTGTGTGTGTGTGTGTATATATATATATATATATATATATATATATATATATATATATATATATATATATATATAGCAGATAAAGTTTCTAATACATTCATTGCTTTTTATGCAGGTGTATATATGCATTATATAGTGAAAGCAACATGACTAATGCATGGGTTATATTAAATAAGTAATTTTCACAACCATCAAAACTCAACATACTGTAACATTAAAATGTAGTTTACTCACCCAAGTATAGTTATTCCTACAAAAATCGTTAGACTCCGTCGTCGAATAAAGGAAGAAAACCACATGATTGGAAGATTTATAAAAATGCTTCTAAATGAATGTTACTCTAAAAGGGTGTCATAGAATTTCATCACAGAAGAACAAGAGATCTGCTGCCTCGGGAAAACCTATGACAGTAACCTTAAATAAAGGACGACCGCAATCGGGAAATCACCCTGACGCAATTAGACACCTGGCTGAAAGCAGTGGACAGCAGCCAATTACTCGGAAGGTTTATGGTGTGGTGCTTCCAGTATGGCAACATACCTAGATTACAATGGCTGTTTTTGCTGTACGATTTCCCCACGACTGAAGTGGAAGCAATGGAAAGACTATGTAGCAAGTTTGTGTGGCAATGGCTGGGTCTTACCCCATCCTTCAGCTCAGTAAACCTGTATAGGAAGATGTCCAAGCTTCACCTGCCAGTGTCATCAGTAGTGGAAGAGTTCAAGGTTGCCAAGGCAAGAGCAGTAAGCACACTGGCACTATCGGAATACGTGAAAGTCAGATATGCCAATAAGACCATCAGGTGCGGCAGGAAATGGAAGCCACAAGCTGCAGTGAGAGAAACTTAGGTGTACTGGAAGCCCCAGGAGATCATTGGGGTGGTCTGCCAAGGTCAGCTGGGTCTTGGTAACTCCAGTGCCAAGAGGTGGAGTAGGACCAATGCCAGAGACAGAAGAGACCTCAAAGTGCAGTGGCAGTGGTAGAAGAACGCCGTGTGAAAGTGGCACGTTTTATGTGCCAAGGACGATGGATGCAGTGGGAGAACGCACTGGAGTGATCGATGTCCTGGAAGGAAGTTTGGAGTACCGACCAGGGCAAGTTGTCTTTTCTCCTGCGAGTGGTGGCTGACCTCTTACCAACTCCTAACAACCTTAAGATCTGAGGTAAAGAAGAAGATCCATCCTGCAAGCAATGTGGAGCATCGTCTTGCACTTTGAACCACATCTTGACAGGATGTCTCAAAGCACTTGGAGAGAGCCAGTATAGGTGTAGACACGAGAAGGTCCTTACGGTGATTGCCAAGTGGACGGAAAAACAATGTGTCCTGCCCCGATTGTCCGCTCCTTCCGTGTGCCACGCCCCCGCATTAACCCCGTGTGTAATCCCCGTGTAATCAGCTGTTTCTGGTTGTTGTCATTAGTCCTATGTATTTAGTCCGCGTTTCAGTTTGTTTCCCCACTCTGGTCATTGTATTGTCCGTCTGCGTTTTGCCTGCCTTACCTGTAATTAAACCCCGTATTCCCCACTACCCTGACGTCTGCACCTTTGTCTCCATTCCGTCCCTTCTTGGCAGGTGTCACGCCTAGCTCCGTCCGATCCTCGTGTGTGCCACGCCCACCTCGTTACCTCGTGTTAATCCCTGATTGTCATCACCTGTTTCCTGTTCCTTTTGACTTGTCCTGTGTATATTATGCTGCATTCCATTTGCCTCGGGATCTGATTTTCGGATTTCGATATTACATCACATCTGCTAAAAACTCGGGAAAACCGAGTCGGATACATTCCATTTGCCACAGAAGTAGCAATACCATGGACCCATATGAAAAAGCAAGATTTTTTGCTTAGCCGGACAACTTGTCGGATTTAAGGTACCTCAGTTTAAATGGCCTTTACCGTCATTCACTTACAATTAGCCCGAACTACCTTAAATCCGACAAATAATCCGACTAATCATGAAATCCAATTCTAGACCGATTAATTGGTAGCCATTGTTAGCAATATCATTTGATAACACATTACGCGCAGTGCTTCACGTATAAAACTCCGTAGCAACACGTCCACAGATAAGTTGGACGGTATAGTGTGTGCGACTGATTTAATGACCCACAAATGAGAAGTAGTGCTTAAACAGGATAATGCTACAACTTTCACTTCTGTTCATAAAGGGCACAGCCATCTTCGATTCTGAACTCGGGATCCTCTGCGTTATCCGAGATATTTCTCGGATCTCCGAGAAACGGGAGCGCGCATGTCATCACTTCCGGCTTCGAAACTCGGAATCCGAGTTCCGAGGGCAAATGGAATGCACGATTAGTCCGTGTCTCCCACTATCTCCCAGATCGGTCATTGATGTAGTAGTGTCTCGTGCTTGTTGTGCCTAGTGTGCCTTTTATCCTGCCAATAAACCCCGCTTACCCGTCCGCTTGGCTCTACTCGCCTGTTTTCCTGCTCGCCTGCCTGCACAAACGTAACAGCAGGACATTATTATTATAATTAAATGTATTAATGGTTTATTATTAATTATATTAAAATCTTTCATTTTAAATGTATTTTATCATATAATAATAATTGCTATTACTGTCCATTGTCTAAATGTATTTTTACTGTCTAAATATATGTATTCAGCTAGTGTAAACATGCACGATGCTATCACAGCGAATGCGAGGCTGAGACTGAAGGCTTCACCACTCAAAGCTGTCAGGTTTTGCAGGGAAGGAGGCAAGGTGCCAAAGGCAAGTACAGCTGAGCATGACATACTGATTTGCTTTGACAAGTCATATTTTATGAGTTATGACTGATTAAAGTACAGTAGTATTTATGGCGGATCAAGCTCTCAATCTATGTGCATTTAAAGGGGTTAAAAATGACCAACATGACCTCAGAATGGCGAAATCAAAACTTTCACACCTTCATTTACCCTTCATCAACTCATACTGTGTCACACCCACAGGGGCGGGGCAGCATAGCAGCAGGCAATACTCACCTAACGACAGGTTCTATATAAACACGATCACTCTATATAGACACGATCACTCCACAGATCGCGACGTATTGTTGCTATGCATAACGCATACTAAGCATTCATTTGTCTATTGTCTCTTTCGCTTGCCTTGCCTGTTCCGTCTTGCCCTGCTTTCTCGCCTGCCCTACCCGCCTCACCTGTCCTGCCTGCTTCCTCGTTCCTGCCTCCCTGCCTGCCTGCCCTCTTCGGCCTGCCTGCCGATCGTCTCTCATCATGTTCCCCGTCCTTCCATCTCCTCGTCCCGTCTCTCTACGTAGGACTGACCTTCCTGGCATCTGACCCTCTGCGACCAACCTGACTATTCTATTGGATTCTCCCTGTCTGCTTTGGTGTACCCGATCTGAGAAATGAAAGGCTCTCTCGCATATTGGGATTCACCTCTTCCCTCACAGCGGAGCGCGACATACTGATTTGTGAAAGTTTTCACAAGTCATATTTTATGAGTTATGACTGATTAAAGTACAGTATGACCTCAGACTGACCAAATCAAAACTTTCACACCGTCATCTACCCTCTTTTTTTTAGTTTTTAGTTTAATCACGTGACTACTGACATTTAGTCTTTCTGATGTATGTAAGGACATAATTCGTGTCATGTTACTGTAACTGTTGCTTTGATTTTTTTTTAGGTGTACCTGTATAATGTAATTTAATCACAAATCTCTGTACTGCTCTTTAATATAATTTGTGTATGTAAGTATATGCAGTGTTTAACTCTAAATGTATATGCAGTGTTTAATTATAAATGTAATTTAATCTTGTTACTATACTGCAGCATATAGCAAGGTGATGAATATGGAGCTGCCAGGTAAGAGGAAGAGAGGAAGGCCTAAGAGGAGGTTTATGGATGTGGTGAGAGAGGATATGCAGGTGGTCGGTGTGACTGAGCAAGATGCAGAAAAGCTTAAAGAAGATGACGACCTTATTGCAGCAGACATCCTTTCATGTCATGACATGTAACTGTACTGATTTGTAATTTGTAATGATACTGTAACTGATGTTTTGAAACTTATTTGAAGCGTATGACAATGCTGTGTAATTAGTGAAGTAATCACATGAGTGACTGGTGATTTGTAATCTCATTTGTGTTTATGTAAGTACATGCAGTGCATGACACATGCAATGTAATCATGTTACTGTAGTGTTTTTTTTAAAGACCATTATCTGTGTAATGAAATTATATGTAATGCATGTCCTTTGAAGGTTTTTCTGTGTAGATTATTTTTTTAATATTTGTATAAGCATGTGCTGTGTATTGTGCTGCATAACATTTAATCACATTACTGCAGTCATTTATATTTAAAACTTCCTCTGAACTACATTTCTATGAGCAAGTGCTGTGTAATTCATGATATTCACTCCCATTACTGTACTGATTTTTAAAAAATCTTTGGATTTAATCAAAAGTATTTGTGTGATAATTCTTTGTCTTTTTCTAAATGACATTTATTTACATTGGACACTTCCATCATTGTTTGGAGATTAAGTGTAATTTTTTGTAATTCTGAACCTCATTAAAGTGCTTTAACATTTCTGTTTCAATTAATTGACATTCCACAAGTACAGTTTTGTTTGTGTGTCCGATTGGTTGTGCTATTTGCATGACGCGCGGAGTCGGGCAATCAGCTCTGAGTCCATCAATCAGGATGCAATTTCGCTCCGAGCCATGCCATTGCGCTTACAAACCCCTAACGTCAGTGATGCGCGGGTCGACCTGCGGGTGCGGGCGGTTTTAGGGCAGACATTTTTAAAATATCGTGCGTGGGTGGGTGTGTGCATGCGTGCGGGTCAAAAAGTTACAAAAGGCATTTCATTATCGATCAAAACGTTGTAAACGGAGTCGGCGTATAGTTTTCAATTTGTAGGATAAGCTACTAGTTTGGTGAAATATTACGGTTAAGTATGCTCTGCTCTACTTCATTTTAGACAAAATTAAGTTAAAAGAAGACCTAAGTTAGTTCTCAGATCTGATGTTACAGTACATCAGATATGTTACAGTTTTGACAACTAATGTGTTTCGCATACATGCGTGCTTGTGTGTGTGCGAGAGAGATGTCTTTCGTGCAATTTTTGGCAACCCTTCAATAAATAACGACGTAAAAATCGATCTTTCGGTTTCTTTGTTGTTGCTTGGTATACACTTAATCTTGCATAAAATGTCATCATCTTCAATCAGGGTACCCGCGCGTCATGGAAAACCTGGAAAAGTTTTGGAATTTTGAAATAATTTTTCCAGGGCCTGGATAAGTTTTGGAATTCTTGGATAGAGAGGTGTTGATAAATGTATGATTGCATGTAACTGTACCTACACATGACCAAAAGGTGGCAGTGTTTGTTAGCTGTATATTTGGTGCCACCCCCTATATAAGGGAATGTCTTTTTTCTTCTCTCTCTCTGC